TGTCGAATCGTACGGTGTCGAATAATTTGGTGTCGAATAAATCTGTGTCGAATCGAGCGGTGTCGAATCGTACTGTGGTCAAACGGAACCCGCCCATGTCGATCTCTATGTAGCCAGCTCTCCGTCTAATAGAGATCCCGTTTCCCGCGCGCGTAATTTGTCCTCGCTGCCACGGCAGCGACCAATTACGTCCCTCCGTGCGCGCGGGAACATTCGCGGACCCGCCTCATTTTGCAAAACATCTAAAAAAAGACCACCCGGAAGATTCAATCGGTTACAAATGTGGATTCTGCGGGTACAGGAGGAAAACAAGGTACCCGCAGAAAGACGTTAAATTGCACATCGAAAAGTTGCACCCCCAACCCCCGGTTGACGCGGAGGCGGGCCCGAGTAGATTAGATAGCGAACCTGGAGCCGCGCCATCTTCCGCGTCGTCAGCGGCCCCGACCACAAACAAAAATCCCCCCTCAAAAAGTAATCCCTCCGTGAATTCGCGTCAACCCGGCGCACGCGCCACCACCACCGCCACCAAGAGGGCCCGCCCAGCTTCAAGGACACAACCCAGCGGGCCCTCTCCAACAACATCAACATCACCTACGACAGGACCATCCCCCACCTACGCAGCCGTCACAGCAGGAGAAGCGGCCGCCATTACCATGAGGCCGCCGAGAGCGACGGCTGCGGTGACGGTACCCCAGCCGGGACCATCGAAGGGGGCCGTCCCGAAAAAGGCGTCGACAAAGAGAACAACTGCCGCGAGGAGAGACACAGTCGCGGATTTATCTACCCCTTCGAGTGGGGGTAGCAATATCATCTGGAGAGCCGGCACCTCGTCGCTCGCGCGCCGCTCTCCCCCCCACAACACCATTTTCCGCTGAAAGTTATACAGCAAGGGAAGAAGGAACCACACGAACATCCAGAACGCCCGCCGCCACACCATCACCGCAGGAGGCCACAGGAATGCGGCGGGCGCACGGCGCGCCCAGCAGGACTTCCGGAGCTGCCAGACCGGTGCGTGAGCCCCCCCGCTCCCCGAAGGAGGGGCCAGCAGCGAGGACATCAGCGGGGGACGTCGCCAGCAGAAGGCCGTCCGCACAAAAATCACCTCGGCAGACCACCCGCTATAACTGGAGGGAATCCCTCGATAGGCGGACGGTCTCAAACGCCCCGGTCGAGAAGAGCTCCGATGCGACGAGGCGAAAATTCCCCCTGTCTCTGCGGCGAGACAGGGGGCCGGCGTCACGGGGGCTGCAGAGCGCCAGGGTTTCACCCGAGAAGAGCTCTGCAGCTATGCCGGCCCGTACATCGTCCGGCAGTCCCGTCGCGTCGATACCGGCAGCAGCGGCGTCGCCACGTTCGGGGGAGGCCAGCAGCAGGGGGGTGACATTACCCCCCCTCGGCATTCCATCTCCTCCCCCGATACCAGCAGCGGGGGCACCGAAAATCACGTCCAATATCCGAGTGTCGGTGCCACCCGCATTGTTACAACAATACGTGCCCACGACGTTGCTTCCCGCGACCGTCACCACCACCACGGTGACAACAACGAAGTGTGGGAGCCCCATTATGGTCACGGGTCTCCCACTGGGGGGGCGCAGGACACCCAGCCCTCCCTTGCCAGCGAGACGTCAGTCACCGCCGGTAGTGCAACGGACAGTCTGGTCGCCCGCACCCTGCAGCGAGGGATTTTCCCTCGTAATGGGAGAGGGTGCGTGAAGCCAGACAAAGAAGAGAAACACTCCACCCCATGAACACCCCGGGGTGGAGCAGCAACAGCAGCGGCAGCAGCAGCAGCAACAACAGCAGAGGTCGACGCCATCAGCGAGGGATAGTGGGGTAGCAAAGGTTCACAGCGGTGGTGAGTGGACCGTGAGTCGCGGGAGAAGAGCGGGGAGAAGACACTCCGCCACAACCCCGCAAACAATTCCCCTATTCTAGCGCCGGCGGAGTCTGGGTCGCGGGCGACGCGTACCCCGCCACCCGTAACGTCGGCGAACTATCCCCCCTTCCGTTGCCCGGGGGGGAACGAGACATTAGTCCCCCATTAGTGGAGGCACGGAACAAGCCATCCGGGAGCCCCGAGCGCCGGAACGCTGAACCATGTCAGCGTGCACGCCGCCGGGGGCGTTCTTCCGTAAATTCAAATCCCACGACCCTAGGACGTGTCGAGCGGGCGTGTTCCGTTTGACCACAGTACGATTCGACACCGCTCGATTCGACACAGATTTATTCGACACCAAATTATTCGACACCGTNTACACGTTTAAGCGTCCGCCTACGCACTCATCTTCCAGCGCGCCTTCTGACGGTCGGGCTTTCGCTTTACTGACGAAAATCGAACCTTTTCCAGGTAAAATTTTTCATGCACCGAGGCATGTCGATCTCTATGTAGCCAGCTCTCCGTCTATTACAAATGCCGCCACAGTGGCGGCACCGACCGCAAAGGGTTAATAATACACAACTCCATATACATAAATTATCCTCGCATATGTCATGCCATTACAAATCAGTGCTTAAACTAAATCTTAATATTACGCATAAACTCTAAATTATACAACAAATTACATTTCCGGCCTGGCATTTTTGCGTTCCACAATCTATTCACTGCTGACTTTCTCCTCAATTTATCCGCACACTCTTCTCTGTCTTACGCTACACACACACCCGCCGCAGGGACTTCCGTTTCCTCTCGCTTCTGCTTGTTTTAGCATATTAGCAACCCTTCTCCGCCAAAAATTTCCACCTTTTTCCCAATCTCTACATCTTTCCCACACATGTACCCATGACTCCTCTTCACTACCACATAATCTACACAATCTTTTTTTTTCCTTCTCCCAGTATAATCTTTCTCTCATTTCATTTCCTAGTCTGAATCTTATTATTCTTTTCCATCTGCTTTCCTCCCAGCCTTCTTTCATATACTTCGGGATGCCTTCTGTCATGATTGTGCTATACTATTTGCAATATCGAAACTTACTTATCATTTGTAGCCTTTCTTCTCTCTGCGATTTTTTATCTTTTTTTATTAACTCCCCAAACTCCATATTACTTTAACTCTTCTTTCTTCTACTTTTTTAATGTTCCAGTCTCTGTCTTTGAAGAATTTTCTTCTTTCTCTCTCCCAGATTGAGCATGTGTTCTTCTCAATAGCTCTCTTTCTTATCTCCTCTCAACATAATCTTGTCACCTCGCTTCCTTTTCCCTCTTCCAATCTACTTTCACAGCCCCATGCACTTCTTCCTGCTCTTTCTCTCTCTCTCTCTCTCAATTTATATCTCTTAGTCTCTTCTCCTACTAAATATCCTGGAGTACTTCTGTCCAAGCCAAAAATCCATCTTAAGAATTTTTTCTCCAATCTTTCCAATTCCTCTCTTTCTTTCCACCCTCAAATCTCTACGCCATAACTCTCTCTCTCTCATCACTGTCCAAATTAATCTGTCAAATAACCAAATTCTTCTGTTCCAGTTTTTACCAAATCTTCTTTTGCCGATTCCCCATACTTCCCCCATTATTATCGCTGTCTTCTTAGCTCTTTGCTTCACTTGAGCTTTTTGTCCTCCATTTCTCTGTAATCTATAGCCTAAATATGTAAATTCTTTGACTTCTTCTATTTTCTTTCCTCGCCATTTCCAATCTTTCCTAACTAATCTTTCTCTACCCTTCTTAAATCTCATGATTTTGGTCTTGTCTATATTTACTTCCAGTTTTTTCTTTTCTATATAATTCTCCATTCTACTTATTCTACTTCTCATATCGTCTTCATCCTCGGACAACAGCACAATATCATCAGCGTACGCTAATAAATATATTCTCTTCTCCTCAACCTTGACTCCACCCCACTTAATTGTTGCTAATTTTTCTTCTAGGTCCGCTATCAATATGCTAAAAAGCAACGGGCTCATCGGATAACCTTGCCTCAATCCTCTTGTCGTCCAGAAACAGTCCTCCAACACTCCTCTGGCTTTCACTCTGTTTTTGGGCTCATTCATTACTTCTCTCACCCTCTCTATTAATTCTTTTCTTATTCTCCTTTCCTTCATTGATTCATATAACGTTTTCCTGTCCACCAAGTCAAATGCCACTCTCAAATCCACAAACAATGCAACCAGTTTCTTTTTCTTTTCTAGTTGTCTATTTACTAGATAATTTATTATATAAATGTTGTCCATCGTACCCATATTCTTTCTAAAACCTGTTTGATTTTGGGGAATTATTATTCTTTCTTCACATTCTAACCTTATTCTTTCGGTCAACACCGCTAGGTATATTTTATACAATGCTGGCATTTGTTGTGCGACAGTTTTAAAATAAAAGTAAAATAAGATGAGGTCATTGAGTAATGTGATGAGACATCACTGTCATTGCTCAATGACCTAGTTAGGTTGCGGAAAGCAGCAGTTCTAAGAAGAACTGCTGGTTGCCACAGGGTGCGACACATCGCCGCATTGTCCGAAGTGCAACGCAGCAAGTGTCGACAGCGGCACCGGTAACTAGCATAGCCGTTGCTAGGACCGGTGGGCCTGCTGAGTCGGCGCGATCGATCTACTATAAATCAATCGCGTGGATGAAGCAGGGAGAGATTGTCATCAGACTGCTAGCTCACTGTGTGGCTTTGCAAGCCGGAGAGTTTACCACAGTGAGGAACAGCCGTGTAAGGAATGTAAGGAACATTGTAAACGGAGCAATAAACACAATAACATAAGTTTACGCATAGAATTTAATCTTTACCACCCAACCTTCTCGACATCCAACACATTAAAGTGATTTCTCTATAGTCACCTGCTCTCTTGCCATCACCTGTTTTGAACAATGGTATTATCAGACCCTCTGTCCATTCTTTAGGCCACCCGTTCCCTGTCCAGACTTTGTTTGACAGAAATCCCTTACCCATTTTCTCAATTCATCCCCTCCGTATTTCCAGGCTTCTCCTGGAATGCCATCCACTCCTGTAGCTTTTCCGTCTTTGATTTTCTTTATAGCAATTCTAATCTCTTCCTCGCTTATCTCTTCCTCTTCGTCCTTTTTTCTTTCTACGTTGCCCTCTCTTATCCTATGTTCTTTCCACTTACCAAAATCATAAAGTGCTCCTTCTATTTGTCCGGAACTATACCGTTATCTATCATTTTCTTTTTCTTTCTTCCTCTATTCACAATTTCTCAGACGTCACCTTTTGTTCTTGCCATTTCTGCTTCTTTTATCCATCTCTCCGTCTCTTCTTTTTTCTTCTTTTTGCATAGTTCTTTATATTCCTTTCTTTTTACTTTGTAACTTTTATTCACCTTTTTTATCCGCCTTAATCTTCTTAATTCTCCTCTTACTTCTCTCTTCATCTTTTTGCAATTCTCGTCCCACCACTCTGTTTTCCTTTTCCTGTCTTTCTGGTCCTGCTGAATTGCCTTTATAGCAATTTTTATGTCTTTTTCCATCCTTCTCTATTCTCCTTATACTTTCAAATTTTCTATTTTTTCGAGATTCAAATTTTCTCTAAATTTTTCTTGACCTTCTTTGTTTCATACTATTTTACTTGCTGTTTGTTCATTTATTTTCTTCTTTTTTCTTTTTACTTCTCCCTTCATCCATATTTTTAGAGGGGGATGATCCGAGTCTATTTTATCGCCTATCTTCATCTTTAATACTCTATCCCTTGCTTCATCATCCCCAATTACATAATCTATCACCGTATTACCTTTCCCTCCTGTGAATGTAAATTCGTCCTTTTCATCTCCTAATGTTGCACCGTTCCATATGAACCACCCCCTTTCTTCTAATTTCTTTACTAGCATTCTTCCTTTTTTATTTATTTTTTTATTTTTGGAGTTTCTACTCTTTGTTTTCCCTGATCTATGTTCTTTCTCTCTCTTATCCGCCCCCTCTCTCTTTCTGTTCTTGCATTAAAATCCCCACCGATTATAACTTTCTCACCTTCTGAATTCTCATCCAATTTTCCATGTTCTCTAAATATCTATCTATGTTACCTTTAACATATACTCTTTTTATCTTCCATTTAGCTTTCCCCACTCTCATCCTACCCTCAATTATTCTTTCTTTTTCTGTCCTACTCATATCGTTCGTGTCTGCTAATTCTTTTCTGATCCCCATCAGCAAACCTCCCATCGCTCTTTCTTTTTTGTTTTTTCTTGTCGCCCATTGCGTGCTCCATACGTATCCTCTCGGTAAAAGTCTTCTTATCTTCTCCCATTTTTTTTTTTCTATCCAAGTTTCAAGTAAAACTATCACATCCCACTTTTCTAAGTTTTTCCAGAAGTCTTTGTCTTTGTTCCAAAAACCTGCTACATTCCAGAACATCCCGAGTAGAAAATCAAACACGGCCCTAAGAAGGGCGCGTTAGGTTTTGTCCTGTTGCTTGATAAGGTCTTGTTAATGCAGCCTGACAGCGCCCTGATCAAAAATGTAACGTCGTGTTACATATGGCCCTGATAGCAGGTTTCTGACCGGGCTTTAGTACGGTGGATCCTTTACGAGCCTTATTATTTTTATAACCCCTGATAGGAGACTGTAAGGAGAAGAAGAAGGTTTGTGGATTAATATTAGCCTAACAGTTTTCTTGACTTGCACTTCCAGATTCATCAAAGGTTTTTTCACTTTCATCCAAATTTTCTATTGATGAACGGTTTTGACTAGCGGTAGATGTCGATGGTTTTGATATTGAATAATCCTCATCTAAAATCAAATGTTTCATAAATGTATATACTCATAAGTATTATGTATAGTATATATATGTACGTCTATGTAAATGTTAACTATGAATAATATTGATGCAAAATCTAAACAGCGTACTACTTGGTCCTAAATAATACTTTTGCGTCACCTTGGACGT